GGTCCCTATGGGTCTCTATGGGGTCCCTACAGGTCCCTATAGGATCTCAATGCCCCCCAATCCCCCCCCGCAGACATTGACGAGTGTGCGCTGGGTGCCCTTTGCACGGGGGGCGATTGTGTGAACACGCTGGGCTCCTTCCGCTGCCGCTGCCCCCCCGGCTACGGCGTGCGGCACGGCCGCTGCCACGGTGAGTGCGTGCGTGCCTGGGTGTGCAAAAGCGTGCGAGGGGGGGGGAGGGGGGCGCTGGGTGTGCGTTGGTGCAAAGGGGGCCGCGGAGGTGGGGCTGGTGGTGACGTGTTTCACACGTGGGTGTGTTGCACGAGGACGTGTTGCATAATGATGTGTCGCACATTGTCTTGCACACTGATGTTGCACGTGGTGTTGCACGATGAGGTGTCACACGTGGATGTGTTGCACGATGAGGCGTCAAACGCGGGTGTGTTGCACGAGGGCTTCGCACACCCCCATGTCACACAATTCCATGTCACACATCCCCGTGTTGCACAATTACGTGTCACACAACCACCCTGCGTCACACAATGATGTCACACAACACCATGTTGCACAATTACTTGTCACACAACCCCGTGTTGCACAATTATGTCACACGACTTGTCACACAGTTCCGTGTCACACACCCCCATGTTGCACAATTCCATGCCACACACCCCCATATTGCACAATTCCGTGTCACACATCCCCATGTCGCACAATTCCATGTCACACACCCGCATATTGCACAATTCCGCGTCACACAACCACCCCACATAACACAATGATGTCACACACCCCCACGTTGCACAATTCCGCGTCACACATCCCTGTGTCGCACAATTCTGTGTCACACACCCCCATGTTGCACAATTCCGTGTCACACATCCCCATGTTGCACAATTACATGTCACACACCCCCATGTTGCACAACTACATGTCACACACCCCCATATTGCACAATTCCATGCCACACAACCCCGTGTTGCACACTGACGTGTCACACACCCCCATGTTGCACAATTCCGTGTCACACAACCCCTCGTGTCGCACAATTCCGTGTCACACATCCCCGTGTCGCACAACTACATGTCACACATCCCCGTGTTGCACAATTACATGTCCCACAACCCTGTGTTGCACGATTACATGTCACACAACCTTGTGTTGCACACTGACGTGTCACACAACCCCGTGTCGCACAATTCCGTGCGACGTGTTGCACGACGGCGGCCTCACGCCCCCCCCACCGCCTTCCAGACGTGGACGAGTGTGCAGCAGACCCCTCGTTGTGCCCCCCCCCCGGCACGTGCACCAACACCGACGGCTCC